AGCCAGAGGTTTAATGGGAAAAGCGTTCGAGAACCAAGACATGGAGAAGATAAGAAAATGATAAAATGGTCCTTACAATTTTAGATAACCATTAAGACACCAACAGTGCAAATATTAGTTCCTTTGGATATTTTAAACACTATTTAGTACCTTGAAAGAACATTCATATATAACTAAAAACATTTTAAAGGACTTACTAAGATACTAGCAGTACAAATAATAATCCCATTAGATTTTTTAGATAATATATAATGCCATTAAAGGACAGCAAAAGTAAATTAGGGACATTCTACTAGAGCAACTGGGATATTTAGTGAGAAATAAGTAGTATCCAAGGTAGTCCCATTAAATGTCTTGAACAGCATAATACTCCCAAAGGATGTCCAAAAGGTTGACTGAAGTGTCCCCGTTACACCTCCGGCTCTAGGGCTAGAGGTATCCTTTGCTATCTTGCTCCTCATAGCCCTAACAGGCTTTCTTAACCATCATTACCATCTCATATCCCAGATCAGAGACTGGGTAACACTCCCAGCCAGCCAGCACAATGGGTAGGGATTGTACCTCATCATGAGGATACAGTTCCTGAACATACATGACATACCTATTATTAGTACATTTTCTCACCTGCTGCTTAATCCCTGAAGTTGTACAATAAGTTGTTTCATCCTCAGACCACTTTTGTTCTATTCTATTTCCGGTCTAAGAGATAGACAATTAGCTATAAAAACCTGTGAGGAATTGATTTTTCTTATCACATTCCCGTTATGTCGTGGTTATCCGATTCATTCCCTGTCACTCCTCTCGCTCTTGGACTAAAGATTACAGCTGGCATTCTATTACTTTTATCCTTTTTCTTCTTATTCTCCATTCATACTCACGTCCTATCGTACTTACAACAAAGGAGAACTGTTGTAGACCCTCGAGAAGATATCCAAATGACATAGCAATGATCCAATGCTATGTCTGGGAATACTTCGGAGGGATATTGATAAGCAAGGAAGGCTATGAGTCAGCGCCTTCTCATGAGCTTACTGATATAACCAATCGTACATCTCTTACCAATACTTTCTCTCATGCAATTAGTAAAAACAATAGATCGGACCACTTTCTCTTTTATTTCTTATTGGTTAGTTAATTGGTCAGACCACTTTCTTAACTCTTCCCTTTCTCGGTCTGACCATTATTGTTCACTATATAAGGAAGTACATACTCGATGTATTATTCTTTAGTTCAATATTAGTTTGGATTCACGCCCATATCAATACTCTTCAACTCTCATACCCTGCTTCACCGCCTTTCAGCAAGGACTTGACCAGGCATTGAGTTTTGTTATATAGCTTCATATTCATTGCCTGACAAAACCCTTGAGTTTACTCTCAATCCTCTACTTGTAAAAATCTCTAGCATCTGTCAATCTCAAACTTATTGTACCTCTTACTCCCTGCAAATTGCAATCAGAGATGGGTATTGTTTTTGTTATAATATAATGTTGCCTCACACATACTCTTCTTGTCCATCCACTATCACTGGTGGTGTCGGTTTTGGTTTTGGTTTTGGTTTTGGTTTTTCTTGTTCTTGGAATTTAGGTTCTCTGTATGGAGTAAGCTTAATCTCGTTGAAGACCAGATGGATGTTTCACCAAGTTGTCGGGAGTTGTAGTTTATAAGCTGATTTGCTTATTTTTTTGATGATTGGAAATGGTCCATATCTTTTATCATCCAGTTTTTTCGCTGGTCGGTCTGTTGAGATATTGATTGCTTCCACATATACCTTGTTGCTAATTCTATATTCTACCGCTGTTCTCTTTTTCTTATCATACTGCCTTTTCATTTGTTCCGCTATTTTCTTTAGAGACTTTTCCACTGTCTTTCTCATTTCTGTCATCTTTTTCACAAACTCCTCTGCACTTTTGTTCTTTACTTTTTTTCCTGTGTTATCCTGTGTTCTAGGGTGATACCCTTGATTTAGGTAGAAAGGACTGTATCCTGTAGCAGAGTGTTGTTTGTTATTATAAGAGAATTCTGCTAGAGTAAGCCATTCTGCCCAATCATCTTGTTTATGATTAACAAAGATTCTGAGATACTGTTCTATCTCTTGATTTATCCTCTCCATTTGTCCATCTGTCTGTGGATGCCATGTGGTTGATGGACTTCCTTCAATTTTGAGTAGTGTATCTAAATCTTTCATAAATTTGAGACAAATTGTGGTCCCCGATCTAAAATGATCTTTTCAGGTATCCCATGGTTTCTGAATACATTGTCCTTTCTTTTAATAATCCACTGTGATATTTCTGGCTCTTCTTCTTGGTTGATCTGGGTTGTTTGTATAAAGAGCTTTTTATCTAATAGTATTATATTTCTGTTATCATCCTCCCCCCTGTTATAATCTGCTTGTCTTGACAATAGATTGGCTTTGATGTGTTTGTTGCAGGGCATGTGATGGATTGTGAAGTGGTATTGACTTAATTCAGTCATCCATTGTCTATTTAGCTTCCTAGGTTCTTTGAAATATAGTATATTCTGGTGATTGGTCCAGATTTCAAATTCCTGTTCTGCATCTATCAAATAATGCCACCATTTGCTTAGAGCCGTCATAATTGCTAAGAGTTCTTTATCATAAATCTCATAGTTGCGTTCTGTGGGGTTTAACACTTTTGAAAGATATGCTAAAGGTTTCCAATCATTGTTTTGTCTTTGGGTGTCAGAACCATGGCCTCTTTGGAGTAACAGAGCTGCGGAGTACAGGGACAAAGTATGGAGGACGAGATGGGGAATCGGCTTAGCTCGTGCGCTAGACCCTTCCAAGGACCTTGGTCCCTAACTCTTTGAAAGTGGATGGAGGAAAAGTGTGAGGCAATGTTATACTATAACAAAAACAATACCCATCTCCAATTGCACTTTGCAGGGAGTAAGAGGTACAATGAGTTTGAGATTGACAGATGCTAGAGTATTTAGCAAGTAGAGGATTGAGGGTAAACTCAAGGGTTTTTGATGAGGAGTAAAACGGATAATTCAAGTAACAAAAAGCTAAAGAACAATACATGAGCATGTAGGGCTTTTGGCTTTTATAGCTAATTGTTCAAAACCTAGTATTACCATGTCATCCTCCACTGTATTCACCACCCTCAGCTCCATTGCCAGGGCCCTTAGCCCCATCCCCCACCTCATTACAGAGGGGGCCGCCTGTCAGGGTGGGATGCCGGCTGGTCTTGAGGAGGCACGTAGTGCCCGCCTCTTGTCCGTCCAACAGTGTCTTACTGTTGGAGAAATTGTCACGCTAGTGCCTATGCCCTACACCAACACTGTTTGCGAGTTCTTGAAACTTGTCTTCTCTTGTCACGAGAAAGAGTTGACAACAGACACAGCTCATAAAAAGCTGCAAGCTCTGCGCGATGCGGGAAATTTCCCCTCTTGGCTAGGTAGCTCTAGCCCTGAGATGCCGCTTACAAAGTGGTTTAAAGAGGAAAACAGGGAGGAGAGCTCTGCACTTGAGAAGGCACATCTTGCTTATAAGAAAGAGCAACTGGACCGGGCAATTGCCCTTAAGGGTTCAGAAGCTTCTATGTACCAAAACTCTCTCGTGCCACACACCATGTACGATCATATTGTACCAAATTTCAGCATCATCCACAAAGAGCAGACGAGGCTCTGCCAGATCCCCACTCTGGGAACAATTGATAGCCACAGTATTGAAGGGCCTTTAAGGGTCGTTGCATGGGAGACATCTCCAGGAGTAGATAGAGGGTTGAATGTGTGCAAACTGGACTGCATTGCATGGGCAATGCGAGCTTACGTACTTGCTAACACCAAATATCACAAAGCAGAAGTGAAAGTGCAGAAGAAGCAGTCCTTGAAGGCAGACACCAATGTTGCGATGGGAGAAGCGATGACATCATCAGGAAAGACACTTTGGCTATATAGCAGAGGCAATACTATCTATGCTATTATAGCTCTAATAGTACTATATAGCAGATGCAATATTATATATGCTATAATAGCTCTGATAGTACTATAGCAGAGGCAATACTATTTATACTATTATAGCTCTAATAGTACTATATAGCAAAGGTAATACTATTTGTGCTATTATAGCTCTGATAGTGCTATATAGTAGAGGCATTACTATAAATGCTATTATAGCTCTGATAGTGCTATAGATCAGTTGCTCGGTGGTGAAGACCGGTCAGAAATTCTGCAGGTTGATTCTGGCGTAGTTGCTATCCTCCTCTTTGGGGTAGACGTCCCATCGTCTAATTAGGGCGTCCGGTGTAGTCCCAAGTTCTCCTGGTCGGAAATGGATGATCATGTTGAACTGCAAGAGGAACTCCTACCAACAGGCGTGTTGCCAGGTCAGGAGTTTTGTCTTGGAGAAATAGAAATATTCTAGGTTCTTGTGGTCGGTAACAGCATCATCCGAAGAAGAGGAACCTTCAAGGTAGTGTCTCCACGTTTTGAAAGCTTCAAAAATTGCGAGTAGTTCTTTATCATGGGTGTCATAGTTGAGCTCCGGAGCGGTAAGGGTGTGGGAGTGGAAAGCCACTGGGTGGAGTTCTCCACCCGGATTTGAGATGGATAGGATGGCAGCGCTGGCGTAGTCCAAAGCCTCAGTTTCTACGGTTAGTTGAACGTCCAGAAACCAGTGTGAGAGCACCGGAGCAGTTGTGAAGGCACCCTTGAGTGCTTTGAAGGATTTTTGACATTTGTTGGAGAAATTCCAAGGTGTGTCCTTCCGAGTGAGGCAGGTGAGCGGAACAACAATACTGGAGTAGTTGTTGATGAAGCAATGGTAGAAGTTGGTGAACCCCAAGAAACACTGTACGTCCTTAATTTTGCAAGGTTTAGGCCAGTCCCAGATGGTTTGGACTTTGTTGTCAGACATTGTGAGGCCTTTTGGAGAGAGGAGGAAACCAAGGTATTCAACGGAGTCGGTATGGAAAAAACATTTGTTGGGGTGTGTACAGACCATTAGCGCGGAGCCACTGGAGTACCTCCCGGACATGTGCTACATGCTGCTCAGGGTTGTTGGAGAATACTAGGACATCGTCAAGGTAGACAATGATGCAGACATCAAGAAGGTCAACAAATATTGTATTGACAAAACATTGGAAAGCTGCAGGAGTGTTGGTGAGCCCAAAAGGCATCACCTGTAACAACCAAGAGTTATTTACTCTGGCGCACACAGGAACACACTATAAAGAACATGATGGAGAGTGGTTACCCCTTAGGCTGCAGTGAGTTAGTTGTGCTAGACAACAGGAGGACTCGCTGAGTCCTTCCCCATGTATTGCTCTTGTATATATAATAAAATACATGAGGTACTGTACAGTTGTAAATAAAGTTCAAAGTCCGATGTCTAGCATGTGACCGGTCACATGATGAGTCTAGACACTGGTCAGGTGATGTGTCACATGACTGGTCATGTGACTATGAAAAGTCGAAAATGTAAAGTAAAGTAAATGGTCACATGACTGGTCATGTGACTTGGAAAATAAAAGTAGGAGTACAAAAGTGAAGCGTAAGTAGGTGCTGGTATGTTAATTGTAACATCACCAGCCACTCGTAAGATCCGTAGCAGGTTTGGAAAGCGGTTTTCCACTCATCTTTGTCTGCAATCTGTACTAGATGGTAGGCATGTTGGAGGTTGAGCTTCGTATAGATTTTGGTGCAACTCGGAATATCTAGGAGGTCAGAGATACAGGGGAGTGGGTAGCAATCTTTCTTCGTGATCTTGTTCAGCCCATGGAAGTCTATGCAGAGCCTGAGGGAACCGTCTTTTTTCCAAACAAAGAGCACCGGGGCTCCGTGTTTGGAGGAGGAAGGGCAAATGATCCCAAACAGGCAGAGGTTGTTGTCAAAACGGCGCTTGCATTCTTCCAGAGTAAGTTTCCTGTCCTTGCCCAACTTATTGGTCAAGTCCAGAGATTTTGGGGTGTGGGAGTGGTGGGAGTGCAAATGGGAAATGGTGTTTCCGTGGGTTGCGGGCTTTGCAGTGGACGTAGAGGAGGATGTTACGCACAAAGTGCTTAACAAAGTCTGAGGGTTCGTCGAGTTTGTTCAAAGAGACTTATCCGAAGACAAGTTCGAGGATGTAATTCTGAATAGAGGGATTCCAACGGTTGTTGGTCTTCTTCCGTATGGAAGTCTGATCTTGGAAGTTCTAGCTTTGTAAGCGTGAACTGCGTAGAATCGTATTGGAGAATACTACTACTGTTACAAGCGTATTTATAGAGAAGTAAGTCGGCGATAGGAGTTACGTCCTATCTAGGGTAGGTCTGTCCGTTGAGGACTGAGTACTATACAAAGTAATAGAAATGCGAGAAGAGCGGAAGTGTATGTGAGGGATGTGAGTCATCGGTCTGATGGTATAACCGATGAGTAAAGAGAAATGAGTAGTCCGTAATATAGGTAGACAAATCGTAACAGAGGACTGTTTGGAGGAAGACATGGTATTGGTGCTCAACGGGGATTTGGGCTGGGTGGTAGTTTCCCTGCTGATGTAACAACCGAGAGTTTGTTACCCTGGCGCACAACTCAGACAAAGCACAAGGAAATACCATCCAGCAGTATGTACTGCTGATCAGTTGACGAGAAATACCAGCTAGCAGTATGTACCGCTAACCAGTCAGAGAGTAAATGAGAGGGAGTGGTTACCCCTTAATGGTAGGACCGAGTTAGTTGTGGGTAAACAACAAGAGGACTCGCTGAGGAGTCTCCTGGATCTATTGGGTATTTATACTACTACAGTTTATTTGTATGTATGTACTATACAGTTGATGGAAGCAGTGGCTGATGATGTCGTAGGGCGCAGCCCGTGTGACCAGCTCCACTGCGTGAGATACTTGTATCTAAAATAAAAGAAAGCAGTGCAGCGCGAGAAAGTGGAGTTTCAACAAAAGGGAAAGTGCCACATGGCACTGCGTGTGAAAACTACACAAGAAAGTTAGAGAGGAGAATGAAAATTAAAGGTCTGAACATTTGTGTATTGTAACAGCTGACTTTGCTGTGTCGTTCCCAATAGCAAGAGTCAATGGTTTGAGCAAGGGTCTGTAACTCCGTGAGGGAGTCTGGTTTTCCAATGCGGGAGATTTTGTCTTTGATCCTCGCAGGGAGTCCTTTGTAGAACTGATGTTGGAGTGCGCCCTCGCCCCATCCTTGGATTTGGGAGGCAAGACAATTAAATTCCACCATATACTTATTTAGATGTTGATTCTCACACATCTGGAGGTGCTCAATCTGTGACTCTGTATCTCTGGTGGGGTCATGAGGCCCAAAATTGGAGCAGAGCTTGGAGTAGTCATCCATCCAGATAGGAATGGTAGCGAGGTTGTCTGGGGTCAGGATATCCGGCTCAAACCAATCCAATGCCATTCCCTGAAGGAAGGAGATAGTGTAGTTGATTTTTGCTCAGTCAGTTCAGAATGCGCCCAGACAGTCGTTGAAATTCAGTTGACACTGCACAATGAAGGAGCAGAGTTTTGGGGGTTGGAGCCATCAAAGGTGTCCGGCTCTGTGACCTTAGTGCGTGCAGAGATGCCGCCAGGGGTACGTCTAGACAACCGGGCAAGTAAGGCAATTGCTTGAGCCAGAGTAAGGTCTTTGGCATTCTCATTTTCTGGCTCCATGCGGGGTAAATCTGCGAGAGCGGGTATCAGAGAATCCAGAGCAAGGGTCGGGGTACGAGGTGAGCCAGGAGGGATTGGGGAACCCTGGGGGTACAAGGTGAGGTCGGGCGTTGTCATGCACCAAAGTTGATTGGTAGCATGGACAGGTGTCAATAACAAAGCGAATATTCAAAAAGACTCGCCTTTGCGCCACACAGGCACAGTGCCACGTGGAATAGTAATTAATATTGCCTTTTTCGAACTTGTGGCTGATCAGCACCACCTCTATTAGGCAATCCAGTCACGCTCACCTTTGCTTTCCATTCGGTACTTTCCGCGTTTCGGCATTTTGGCAAATTTTCGCGTCGCCACTGGCTATACATTGCATTGCGCCCTCGTTTTTGTCGTTTCCTTCACTTCTCTTCCTTTGCCTAGCCCCACCATAGGTCCCTTACTCTCGTTTTTATTTTCACCCGACGGTTGTTTCTGGATCCCCATTCTAATCCACTTTTTCGTCACCTCCACCCTCCTCCTCCTCATCTTATTTGCACCCCCACCATTTCTGATGTCACCACTTCCTATCCGCTTCCGTCGCCGATCCGTTGACTACCACGTGCCACTGCTGATATCAGCAAAGCCCCAGCGGCCGGTCCAAATAGGGCAACAGGTCCATCTTCATGACATCGATCTACCATCATATACCATCAAATCATTGGTTGCTCGTCTTGCCTGGTTGGAGCGTGGGTGGGTAGTTTTTGAGCTGGAGAAGGTTCATCCCCTTGCGTTGCCCATGTACATTGCCATCCCATTCACTTGGGTACACTTATCTTTTGTCCATTGTCTTCGCTACAGCTACACCTACCACACGCTGCCTGGGCCTCACTTGTTTCAAATTGGGACTACTCCTCTCCCTCCCTCGTTTGACCAGGTGGTCCAACACAACTAGTCCATTGGTAAGGCCATCAAACTGTCGGATTTGGACTAGGTGGTGGACCGGTGGCTCCAGTTTCTTTTTTCAGCAGAATATTCATTTACAGTGCAATTATTTTTGATTTTTGAATCATTTTTATGGATACATATTTTTTTAGAATGCCTGACTGACAATAAAGGAACTGTGTTGATACTGGTAGTGTTTTGCCTTGCCCTTTTTTTTACTGTGTCTTCCCATGACATCATGATTTTCCTGCTCTCTTTTTGCTATTGGACTTTACTCTATGGCTGTACAAACCTGTGACATTACTCACAGTATTCATTGTTCTATCCCTTTCTTTTCCTTTTTTTGACAATCTTATCCTGTACTACCTATGCAGGATTTGTCAGCGTATATTCCTTCCTTCATGTTCTTTCTCATTCTTTTTGCACAGCTATACTGTGCATAGCCTACTTTTCTTTCACTATATAAACTCCTGTATTTTACCTTGTAAAAAAGAACAAGAACTCGATTCCAGACTTCTTCTCTAATCTTAAGTCCACTTCTTACTGCTACTTGTGATCCAGTGTGGTCACAACACTTCCCACTGCTACCACTGTTAATTACTGTCATCATCACTTCCCACTTCTGAAGTCATTGTTATCCCTTTCAATTAGAGTCCTTCTGAGCACTACAGTTTGTGCGTCAGGAGCCTGCTATCACTGGGAACCTCGTCACCTTGTCATCCTCGTTGTTCTCAAACCTACCTTGTGCTACAATTAGCAAGGTAGTGCTCGTCTATACTCGCCACAAAGCCCCTATCTTTCTATATTCCCACTATCCTTCCTCCTCAAAACCCACACCCATACATCACTGGGTTTTACTTTGAAGGATCATTATATGTACCACCCCACGAACAACCAGACCACTCCACTGTTCTAGGAGGCAAAGCCCATAAACAAGTTCCGTGGAATCTGGGAGGATTGTGTGTTAGTTTGTTTTTGTGTGTGGTTTTTCTAACAACAGTTCTCATCATCGACATCGTACATGGAACAAAACCTTTGATCGCAAGCTCCAGGAGCTCAGTTTCACAAGACTAAATGCAGAAACATGTCTCTATGTATTCTGGGACAACAAACAAATATGCTTTGTTGTTGTCTATGTAGATGACCTCCTCCTAGGAGCTTCATCCCAAAAATCCATGGATATCACAAAAGCCAAACTCGAATCCATATTCAAAATGCAGGACCTTGGAGAAGCAAAATACATCCTCGGAATAGAAATCCAACATGATCATTCAAACAAAGCAATATCCCTATTGCAACGCCAATACATTGACACAGTCCTGGAGTGTACTGGAATGAAGAACTGCAAACCAGTATGGACACCAATAGCCCATGGATCAAAACTCCTCACAAATGCTCCAGGGGAAGATATTGTGCAACACAAGATGCATATTGACATTGCCTACATTGTTGGAATACTAAGCAGACATAGCTCAGCTCCAAGGAGCCATCACTGGGAAGCTGCAAAATGTGTCCTCCGATATCTGAAAGCAACCAGGGACATGGAACTACAATATGATGGCACAGATGTCTCCATGGACATGGATTTCTATGGATATTCAGATGCAGATTGGTCTGGAGACCCAGACACATCTTGATCAACATCAGGCTTTGTTTTTATCACCATCCGAGGAGCAACCTCCTGGACAAGCAAAAGACAAAGCATGATAGCTTTATCCTTCACGGAGTCAGAGTACATTGGATTGAGCAATGCTGGACAACACCTTGCATGGCTTCAAACATTTTTTGAAGAAATTGGACATGCTCAAAATGGACCTACAACATTGCACTGTGACAATCAAGCAGCTATTATTCTTACACGAGATCCACAGTTCCGTGCTCGCACAAAACACATTCAATGGAAATATCATTTTATCCAAGATGACTTAGTATCAAAGGGAGAAGCAGTAATCAGATATGTTCCTACAGGAGATATGGTTGCCAACATTCTCACTAAACCCCTCACTCACGAAAAACACTGGAAATTCTCTAAAGCTATGGGACTATGGTTGCACTCGAGTGGGAGTGACAAAACCGGATAAACCCGGTCTCTGCCAAAGCAGCCATTGTTCTCCATGGAGCATAGCCACCACTCCATGGAGTCACCATTGTACTCCTAGGAGTCATTATACTGTAGCGAGTAGCACCTCCGACTATAAGTAGTAGGGGGTTTAGTATAGAAATACCTCAGTTGTTTCTATAGCCTCTCGGGCAGCGGCTGAGGTATGTTACATTACATTTATTAGAGATCACCTTAAACTAACATCCATTGTAGTTTCACTTAGGTAAATAATAAAGTTGTTTCTATAGCCTTTCGGGCAGCGGCTGAGTTTCACTTAGTTTTATTATAAGTTGATCCCCACAGTGTCATCCTTACACCCCTCATTAGACTATGATCTGTATATTTCACTCAGCACCCTGAGCATAGTTGCTCACTGAGCATGTTGGAACTTTGGAGTACACTGCAAGCAGAGTAGCAAGTGTGATATCACACAACCATCACGCCGGCTTTGAACCCCCTTCTTCCTCAGCTTGTTGCAAAAGACTGAGGGTAAGTTTTGTTTTCTCTCACCTCATTATACTTATGTTGATGGTTATTTATACTTAGTTCTCATATTGTCTAGTTTTCACAGAGCAGGAATATTGGATTGCGAAAGTAGAAACATATCCGAAGTGGGTCCTACATACATGCATGGCACATTTACTCTATAGCAAGATAGCAAGTAAACAATAACTTTAATAGGTGATTCAACTGAAACTAATATCAGGCATGACTCTAGTACTTAGCTCCAGTATCAAGAAAACGACAACTTGAACTGCAATTCTAGCATGCGAAGACGTGTCAAACTGGGTTTGTATCGGGTGGATGGCGACGTAAGACGGATACAATGTCCAATATGGGTAGAGGATGCTCGAGCACTGACATCTCGAAGTGTGCATACTGTGCATAGTCTGTAGTCTCGGTATCTAGGCCCTGATTAGACCCCATTTTCGGGTTGGACAGTTCAGGTGAGCATGAGTTACGCGATGTGTTTTGAGTTGGCACTGTATGTGGATGACGATTTGATATTTTGGGTGTGTGTACGGATATGCGACGACCAGGTAGACGTTCTTGCCTGAACAGGACATGTTCGAGAGAGGAAATATGCCAAGATCAGTGGAGTTGGCAGGCAAATAAACATGGTACACACCACTTTCTTCAATCTTTGAGGATCGCGAAGATACTAAAGTAGCTAGTAAGGAAGCCTGCCACAGCACGGTAGCTCTTCTTTGCTTCTGTCGTAAAACCAAAAAAAGAAAAAACAATGATGGCGTACATCACAAAACACCATCGCGTGTATTGTATAGCAGCGGTTTGCGCAGGCATTGCTTGCCACTCAGTAGCTGGAACCTTTAAAACATAAGAAAAATCAGCATGCAGATAATCCCACCCAGGCCAAGGAACAACTGGATTTTCAGTTGCATCCTGTATAATTGCCCATAGACTGTTCGGAACTGTGCAGGCGACTATCACAAGGGCCAGTGCCAATAGTCGGCAAAATGGTTCATCATGTTTCATGAGTTCTTTGAATCCTGCTCCCCGCTGTATCAAGGTGCGAATAATAACACCTGAATTTACATGATTTTCAGCGGGTGCTAGACAACCATTGAATACCTACCTAAATAAACCAGAATTATAAAAGACACAATGATCGGCCATATAAAAAGTAACGGGTAAGTGGGCTGCGTGTTGTATAATGCAAAATAGCAGCTTATTTCCTCGTAAATGATGAAGCGGGTAAATTGAACAATATAGGCTGAGATAAAATAAGTATAACCTTGCGGACAACACATAGTAAGAAACCTACATGAGACCATGTACAACATTGGAACTCCTATGACCAGAAAAAAGTCACATGTAATGGCTCTCCAATGCTGCTCGTAAACAATAAGAAATTGATCAGTGGGTGATAGTACTATAAATCATACTCTGATTTGACTGGGCCGGTTTGTGGTTATGTTTCTTGTGACAAAATACAAATGACGAGCAATACATAAACCCGCTGACTGCACCCCAATTCCCCCGCCTATCATCAAATGAGATGCTGTGAACAATTGATTAGACAAAAAAAACACTAAGCCAGGATCCACGTACATATATCACACCACACAGGTGCCCAGTTGGTCACATTATGATCCCAAATGATTGAGTTTACGAGTCCATTCAAGCAAAGCAAGCCTATCCATATAACGAGGGCACATGTACCAATATTTCTTGCTACATCAAGACATCAGCACCACTGACTTTGATTCAAACGGGGGACATGACCTTTTATATGGAGTGGCAAAAGGATACTGACTAAAACAAAGCCGATGAATGCAAAACCAGAAAAAACATGGTTAGTGGACACCATGATCTTTGAGATAGTAAGGTATGACTTGGTCACTGCAGCGAGGATGGGCTGGGAGGAACTCTTGTTACGATGCTTCCTTTTTTATACCATCTCGTTCAGGAAAGGCAAGCTATACAAAAGGACCGCTACAATCAAGATCCATGGGAGAATCAGACGGATCTTTGCACTGGAGATGTTGACAGCGCAATTGAACATCAGCCCTAGTTTAGATCTACGTGGCATACACTAGGACCATATTTCAGTGTACCACTGCAGCGGAGTATTTCAGACGCCGTCAATGTAAGATCGTTGCTAAACATTGAGGATGCTCGCGAAACATAGCGCAACACAGGCCTGGGAGTAAGTTGGTGTCTTTGCACGGGTATGATCATCATCGTAAAAGCTATGCACTACATGTTGATATCAATAACTAAGAACACCATATAATATGGCTCAAACATACTTGAGAGGCTAGATACAGAGAACTTCTTCGGGATCAACTTCTGTATCAATATCGGGATCCCGTGCTTCAAAACTCACCATTCTCTCCCTCAACTCGGATGGTAGCTAAGTGGATATCTTCCTGTCCAAGTACCAAGGGAGATAATGTCCAATTGACGTATCTGGATCTGGGGATGGTGGGAGAGTGAATGGGCAAGAGGCTTACGCTTGGAAGAAGCCGCCGGGAGTTGATTCATAGACGTGCAATTTTTCAGGTCACTTCTGCAACAGTGCAAAAGGGCTGGCATCTACGCATCTAGCTTTGTGATGATCTCCTCTCTCTTCCCAATGTAGAGGTGGCAAGTAATCAATCATCCACACCTATCAACAACTGAATCGTCATAACCCACCTTCCCACATTCCCCAGCTCTTTCTGGCTGAGCTTCAACCCTCTACCATCCGAAGTAGCGGTAGCTGGGGGTAATACCTTTCCTGCACAATTATCGAGTCGTGAGTACACACCTTGAGCAGTCACCTTTGCCCTGGGCTAGCGAGGACAACGTATCTTGAGCTCAAGTTAGAGGATGTGTTGTTTATGGCTCCGAGATGGGAGAGTTATTGCGATAAGGAGGAGGCAGTCGTCATTATGAACGGGTAAGAGGGTATGGTGGGACGCTGTATCGCATGTGGAGAATCCAATAGATTGAGTAGGTGACTGGGAGGAAAATGAAGAGAATTCCGAGCTGAGCAGATGAGATAGATATCATTGTGGTAAATGAGGGATGGATGCGAGGACAAGAAGAGCTGGAATAGTGAACGTTAGGACATTGGATATTGAAGTCGCAAGAGACGTAGCGCTTTCTTGCCAATTCACGCACGCAATCACTAAACCGAGACAATATCAACGAAAGCGGGGACCAGCAATATGAGTATGAATGCAATACATAGTTCTGCAAGCTCGCGAGGATAAAGTTAGGCATGAGCTGTGGTAGAATCTGTGGGGATGGGTGAGGGGATGGGTGAGGACGGCGCGACAAAAGAGAGAGAAAGAGAAAGAGAGGGGTTAGAGGTTGGAAAGCAACAATGAAATAAAATATACAATGGACTATCAATTACCAATCGCCTCACTTTGTAAGTCTTCTCCTTGGTGATCTCCTCTATCTCGATTGGTTCCTTTTACCTGCATGTCAGTTCCACACCGCATTCCCTGCCATCTCCACTTCTCACTGCGGCGCTATTATCGTGCTTTACATTAGACGTCGATGACTTGCATTTTCACCAATCTTTCCTCTATCCCCTCGTGCCAGGCACAAATGATCATTTTACAGCTTTGCAATCCTCCGCTCTTCCTGCTTTGTCTCCCATCAAGCTAACGTGCGTGTCCTTTGCTTTTATAAATCTACACAGACCTGTTTAATTATCATATAGGGAGTAGAGTAATCGAAACCCTGTCTGTAAAGTGTAAATTTACTGCTAAACCACTCTTTTCTTTCAGGCCAGACGAGTTGCACCATCAAATAATCTAATCCTGCTGACAGTGTCTCCCCTTCGCTCACACATAGGACAATCACGGCCCATCAAGCACTGCATGGCTTGATATTACGGACACTCGTTTAGATTTTTTGGTGTTCTGGGGAAGAGGTAGGGGATAATGAACATGCTACCAGCATATTCAAGGTGAGTACAAGCAATCCCCTCTATTTTTGTGTTGGTCAAACGACAGATATCAGTATCATATCACAACTGCGATACAGCCATAATGCTGACTATTTGGATACTGCGTACATGTTATTCCACCAATTACAGGGCTTCAATGTCGTTAAATTGCATCAAAGTAGTTTTGTGTCATGCTGGTGCGTGTTTTGATAGTTCTGCTACTCCTGAACTCGAGAGAGTTGGCACAAATGTGGACTGTGTCTGGCATACCACAGAGTATACTATCAAGTACGTCCCATGCCCTATATTTGTTCACCGTCCGACTTGAATCTCAGTTAATTATTACTACACCATCACTATGTCCTGTTGCGCAAACACGCATGGGTGATCAGGATACGCTTCTCAGTTTCTCAAGATGCCCCCTCCTGTCCTGTGTACGCTCTTCCTATCGGTAAAAGGACATCACCGGCTCAATATGTTCATGAATATGTGTGCAGAGCGCAGCCTTGCTGTTTTATGAGAGCCACAGTATTTGTTTCACCATCTCGGGAGCATCATTGCTGCTCTTGGTCGCCTACAGGCCTATCAATCAGCATATATCATTGACGTGCCCTGGCTCATCAATTTCCATCTTGTCGTTGTTTTCACAGACGCTGTGGGGAGGCCACGAATATACTCACCTACTCTGTCCTCCCAGCCTCTTTCAACTTAATCGCTATCTTTGCAGCTTCTGGTCCGCCTGCCAAGCAATCTTTGCTCCTCCCGTCTTGGGCCGTCCAGAGTCTTGTAAGTGCCTTGAACGTGACATAAGCCCTTTCTCACAAGGGACGAGAAAGGAGGATGGGGAGGGGCCAGTCACTTTTGCAGAAGCACTCTCGGGCAAGACTTGTTTTTCTGAATTCAGATCAAATATCCTCCAGTACACCTTCAAGCGTCTCCCCCGCTCGCTCATCTATTCATCAAATACAATCCCACCGAAGAATATCAATGAAAGGAGTTGTGAAACAATAGCACAAAGTTTTTCTAGTCGACATGGCTAACCATATTCAGTAAATGTTCTCGTCAGGTGTTCAATTGGCTGTGTATCTCTTGACGGTAAGCAAGTCGGTGACCTGACCTTGTTTACGCTTACGATTGCTATAAATCTGATCTGTACTGTTTTCAGGAGCGATTAGCGTCAGGCTTGTTCAAAGTGCTCAGCATCTGTGAAGCTATCTCACCGTTCATATCCATGAACATTAGTATCATACCCACAGAGCTGAGCAACAAATACATCCTGCTCACGTCTTTTGCAGGTAAGTACAAACACTAAATTCAATTCATTGCTTTTACAGGAACTATCAAAATAAATTATTCATCTCAGGTTCTTCAGACCATACCGTACACTACTTAAGCCTCATTTCCCTAGCTTATTCTGTATTTTCTTCGGCAATAAACCTAGCCAGCGTGATTTTTTCCTCGGCTTGCTGGGTGTTTCAACCTGTGGGGGTGTTGCACTAAGAGTCTCCCTGGCTGACGTTGACGCTGATTCCTGTGGGTGGGCCTCTTCGATGAGGACAGTACTAAGCGGCACCAACAGCGCAGATGCTCTTGGTAACGACAGGAGCTGACCAGCGGGTGGATTATTGTGAATGCTCTGGCCGTATGGGTCCTCGGTCACTATGGATCTTGTATGGTTGTTTGAGTCCCGTTCGGAATATGGCTCAGCAGTATGCCCCGAAGTTTCCACCGCATCCACTGCTTGACTACTACTTTCTGGTTCCACGACCACGCCAGTTTCAGATGATGAACCAAGTACTTTGACCACTACAGAATCGTATCCCCGTCCATTGTAAACTACAATGGGAACTACGGAGTGTGATTAGCTGTATGCTACTAGCTGAAGAAAAGATGAGTGAACTGACCTAAAGCCTTGCTGGCCGTCTGACAGGCAGTCCAGTTGCTACCATACACAAAGTGTTCATATGATACATGAACGCTGTCACGCCTACCAATAACCACAAGAGCCTCTGGGCGGCACCAATAAGGCCTTAGGTCTGGTGGTATCCAATGCATCAGAAGTGGATGCATGTTCGCCATTTCATATGATATCCACCCTGAGAAATTAGGAAGACCTGTATGTCTCTCCCAATCTAAGGGGACTGCAGGTGGAAAAACACTTGTTGCCTGGCTATGGCCACCATACAACTCGACAAGCTCACCACGCCATGTGGTGTGTGTCTCCATTGTATGACTCTCAGAACCTGAAGCCCTTTCTGTGGCATTCGGAGAAATTGCAATAGATGTGACCCAATGATTGCGTCCTTGGGAAAAGACAGACATTAGCTGAGCAGAGATGGCATCCCAGATTCTCACAGTGCAATCAAGTGAGCCAGAAACCACTTTCGTGCCATCAGGAGAAAATCCAACAGATGTGACATCACTAGTGTGGCCTTCCAATGGGTCAGCCACTAGCTGACCAGAGGTGGCATCCCAGATCCTCACTGTCTTATCCCTTGAGCCTGAAACCACTTTTTTGCCATCAGGAGAAAATCCAACAGATCTGACACCCTTTGTGTGGCCTTCAAATGGGCCAGCCACTAGGTCACCAGAGGTGGCATCCCAGATCCTCACTGTTTTATCCTCAGAGCCTCAAACCACTTTGGTGCCATCAGGAGAAAATCCAACAGATATGACATAACTAGTATGGCCTTCCAATGGGTCAGCCACTAGCTGACCAGAGGTGGCATCCCAGATCCTCACTGTCTTATCCCCCAAGCCTAAAACTAATTTGGTGCCATCAGGAGAAAATCCAACAGATGTGACATAACTGATGTGGCCTTCAAATGGGCTAGCCACAAGCTGACCAGAGGTGGCATCCCAGATCCTCACTGTCTTATCCTCAGAGCCTGAAACCACTTTTTTGCCATCAGGAGAAAATCCAACAGATCTGACACCCTTTGTGTGGCCTTCAAATGGGCTAGCCACTAGCTGACCAGAGGTGGCATCCCAGATCCTCACTGTCTTATCAAGAGAGCCTGAAGCCACTTTGGTGCCATCAGAGGAAAATGCAACAGATGTGAAACCATCTTGGTCACTTCGTAAGATATTTAGTATAGGCGGCCACTGTTTATCCTTGCCAGACATAATTCTAATGGTGCACAGAAAATATGGCAGATATGCTCTGGATACCAGTGAGTTGTCTGGTGCCCATGGCAGAGCAGACAGGTAGATGTGAGGCAAACTCTCAAAAATTGGCACATCAAAATTGGCAATAAATCGACGTGCATCTTGTGCAAATTCTTCTAATTTTCTATCAATGACCTGTGAAAAAGCAAAAAGCTATTATGATTAGTGAACATAAATTTACAGTAGTTGGCTTACCTTGAGTGAAGGCGACGCAGCAATTAGGACAGCATGGGCACTTGGCGCATTGTACAACAGCGACATGACTTCCAACCAGTGGAGTAACTTATGTTTGAAAAATCTCTGCAGCATTTCTGCCAACCAGGCGCAACCAGCCAATGATGCTCTGGCGTCAGCAAGGTGCTCTCCCCAATACCGAGACGAATAGCTCAGATGGTCAGGAATATTATCCTTGATACGCTTTTCCCTATCCTTTATATCGCTGTTCCGCAGATATGATGTCTCGATTCCACATATATTAAACCTCAACCCGTCCTTTGGGTTCTGCATAATCTGCATGCATCCACGCAAGAGATCCAAGTTCCTCGCGCTCTCTGTATTGCGGTGAATGCGAAATGCATCAGGACACCAGTCCGAATCCAAAAGAAACTCCATAAACGACAAATGCTCGATGCGAACCATCCCGTCTTGGCCCACCGAGATAACAGAAGTCAACTCTCCCAAAACACGATCAATTGCAATTGCAATGCTATCCACCTCGCCACGAGCAGCGAAATACTCTTCCAGGTATTTGAGTGACAGTGGAACTTTTGCGAACACTATAGCTCCAAGCAATGCCTGCACCACCTCATCAATATCTCCTATGCTGTCCCACGCATTGGTGGTTATCTGCTTATACAGATGATTGACGCTATGCTCTATGTCTAAAGGCCCTCCGGAGCGTATTATCTCTAGTCGCTTTAGTGGATCACCTTTTTCTAAGAAGCGCATGGCGGTTTCTGCCCAGATAAAAAGGCCCGCTGCACGACCTGTAAACTGTTCAAGAACATCAGGTCCTGGCCAGTCAGTAGTTTGTAGGGTGCGAAACCTCTTCTTCAATGCACCAAAACGTTTATTTAAAAAAAGCACGAATATCTGCAGTCGCTGTAGACGTCACTTGGTTTCCAGTTGGTAAAACGATATCTTCGCAGGCTTCACGAAAATCCGAAGGGATGCGATCGTCTCGACTGGTGATGATTAATTTGAACGCCTTGGACAACTTTGACCACTGTGTGAGAGTATCCAATAAAGCCTCCCGTTGAGACTCCCCAGACGAATCATCGCACTCATCAAGTGCATCCACTACAATGACTGGATACCTAAAATCAAGAGGACAGCAACATTAGTCGTGAGTCTCTGTACAAAGTAACCATTGTATCCTACGTATGATGTTGCTGATCCTCGCCGTAGTTGGCGTTCAAACTCTCTACAATGAGAGAATTAAAATGATCTTTGATATTCGGCCTTTGCGGGTTTAGCCGGCCGCTCTTTAGAGTTTCTATGATAGTGGAAGCAATCCTGAGATCAAATTGAGCGAGCTCATGTGCGATGGTACGCCACAGAGCAGCGGGATTGCTCAGAGATGCATCACCGCGTCGAAAAGAGAAAAATCCACCCAGAATACCTTTGTTTGATAACTGAGAGTTTAGGCTGGAAGCGATGGCTGACTTGCCTGCGCCAGGACTACCTTTGATCCACAGGATGTTCTTTGCGCTCGGATCCGCAAGCCAGATGTCGATTCTGTCGAAGATATCTTGTCGTGTGCCATCCATACATGGTTGGACATAGTGGCGATTGTAATCTACAGGATTCAACCTCGCTAGGATGACCTCGTCTGAGGCGCCAGACTGGTTAATGGTAATGTTTGCGTTGAGCTGATCTCGTCCGATGTCTTGATAATTGTCGATGTTAGCTTCAGCATACGATCCAGTTTGAGTGAAAGGCATGATCGATGAGTAGAACGGCGTAGAAAGACGATATTTGTGAAGTTGATGTTGAGGGGGAGAGAAAGAGTGGTGGAGGGAAAGATGCGTGGGTGTGAGAGGCACACGTGTGTACAGCAAGGTGTCCTCGTGGTCGGTGTTGGCCGGACGCTCGATGCATCCTTCTGTCTGAAAGACGCTATATGATTCGTTAGTCCACATTTCCCCATGTTCAGGCCTTCGACGAATGTTATATACTTGTCCTACTCAGCAAGGATTAGAAGACTCGCAAGGTGGCTCAAAATTTTATGTCGACGAGCAAATACCACGGCGTGAAAATCTATGTTTGAATATTCGTTCCAACAAGTCTTGTCGTCGAGCACTTGTCTCTTGTTCCCTTCCGCAATGTAATCACGCTCTAATCATTAACAGGTGGCCCCCTCAAACCGATAACTTAGCATCAGTGGATTCAACGCTACAAACAGTGGAGGTTATCTCGTCGCGAATTTTCATTTCAACTGCTTCATCCTCGAGGAATTTACGCCAAGTTCGGTTCCTTCGCTAATAACTTCTTGGTCGTCAATCCTGGGGTGGATGGGGAGTTTGCCGTTGTGGCTGATTGACCCCCTGCTCAGATCTAACCCACCCCTCCTTTTGACTATGAGGTAGCATTCCAGATCGTCTTGTATTATGTCTGGAGGGGATCATACCTGGTTCACCGTATGCGATCGTAGCTGAACCTGAACTCGTGAGAGACGTCGAACGCCTGAACAACGTCTATCAGGTCATAGAGCTTGATATCAAGTCTGTCTACTCGCACCTTCTTTTCTTACACCATCTGACTTGCATCTCAGCAGACCATGACTATTCCATCATGTTGTCCTGTCGCGCAAACACGCACGGGTGATCAGAATACCATCCCTACTTCCTCGCGCTACACCCCTTTCCTCCTGTGGACAACCTATATTGGTAAAAGCATGTCGGTGGCTCTGTATGTTCGTGGAAATGCGCGCAGCCTTGATGTTTCATGAGACACAGGGCTTGTTTTACTATCCCAGTCGTACCTTCTTCGTCGCATTTAGTCGCCTACTAATCCATATTTTATGCTTAACCAGCTTATTTCGTTGACATGCCATAGCTCATCAGTTCCCATCTCACACCTTTGTTTTTGCAGATGGATCAGAGATGTCATCGATCTACCCTGCCCCCCCCAGCCCCATGCAACTCCACCCGCCGTCTTCGCAGAGTCCGAACCGCCTTCGAAGTACTTTGCTGTGACTCCGTTTTGCGCCACCAGAGGTTTATAAGCGCCTCCAGGGTGGCATCGACGCCGTATTTCTTACGAGGAACGAGAAAAGAGGATGGAGAGGAGCTAGTATATTTTGCGGAGATCGCATGGATGCCATATATACGTGTTCGTGAGTACTCTTTTTCTAATAGTACGCTTGTAGGACGGAATTCACGCGGCTTTCTGATTCACTCCATGCTCTATTTTGCATTTCTTTAATTATAGGGAACGATTTCTATGCCTGCGCCCTACCGTACTGAATGGGCAAAGCCATGTCATAGTGGCTAGCAATATAAATGTGGCGAGGACTGTCACTTCTCACATCTTGTCTCATCTGCGTTCGTATTCTATTATCCTTCATCCTTTCTCGCTAACAAATTCGCCGTTGAACCTATTCATCCATGCCTCCCAAGCCACCGTGACTCACGCTCTTTGTCAACCTGCCCCTTAGTCCTCCTGGTCTAGTCGCTGCCTCCACTATCCAACCGCGCCAACTTTACCAACTGGTCCTCCAATACGCTCCAAAGAAACTGCAAGTGCCAAAACAAGTTCCATACACAACACATCCCTTAGCTTAAACAATGTTGGCGGTGGGGCCTTGCATTATTCGATCCAGGCCCGGTGTCGTGACTTGCCACGTTCTCTGTCGGTTCGAGCTCTCGTATGCCCCTTCCGAGGAGGGTGCATGAAACTGGGAAGAGCGGATTGAGATTTATTTTGTGAGGATTATCGGTGAATATGGTGCGAAGGACCGGGAGGGTTATTGGTGCGTACTTGGTTTTTGAGGATCAGTTTAGTAGTAGAATGTGTTTTTTATTATTATAATAAACTTCATCTCTTGCAAGTAACAACGTGGCAACTTCGCTGTTCCCTGCTTTGGCTGCCGACGAGAGTGGTGTCTGGTCTTGTGTATGTTGCAAATTTACGACGCAGCCTCGGTCGAGAAGTAAGTTCACCGTGTGTGCATGTCCCTGATCTACTGCGATGCGTACGAGTGAGCAAAGGATGGATTGAACTATAGCCGCGCCATTTTGTAACTGATAATCAAGGGTTCGAGTTAAGCCGAAAAAGGCACACAGATCCAGTGTTGAGCCTGCATCAGAGGACCAACGATCACTCGTGAACCGTGTGGCCAATTTGACTCTGTCTTCGCAACAAAGAAGATGAGAATCTTGTATTGCGGCCTGATTCGTCTCCTCAGCAGAACCACGTGCACGATTGCCCCAGGTTTCCACCGCATGATTGCTCAACTCCCCACTAAACCGCCACTCCTCTACTCTGTGTACCAATAGCGATCCGCAGATGACAGTGGTAGTTTTGTCAAAACTTTCAGGGAAACGTCAGCAATTTCTCAGTGAGGGTCCGAGCATAACCATTTCTCGTATTTGCTGAAGTACTCCTGCGCAGTGTAGTCTAATGGGGTGCTGATTAGACACAGCCCGTAAATTGAAGGATAGCAAGGCACTCACGAATCAGACGCACAATAGGACCTGCATCAACCACGACTAAACCAGCACAAAGCTTCACGACGGCGGTTATATTCACGAGGTCAGCACTGGTGGTTCCATTGGTAAGTTCCGAGTGAGGGTCCGAGCATAACCATTTTTTATAATTGCTGAAGTACTCCCGTGCAGTATAGTCTAATGGAATGATCAGACGAAGCCGGTACTGGAAGGATATTGGAGTACTCACGAATCAGGCGAGCATTGGAACCTGCATCCACCGTAACTAAGCCAGCACATAGGCCCAGTATGGCGGCTATATCCACGGGCTCATCACAAGTAATTCCAAGATAGCCACGTGAGACCGTTAGGGCATGTTGGAGCTCCTTATAGACAGTATCCACCTCGGTGGATAGCTTTTCGAGATTATTGCGAACATCTGCACGAGTCACCTTGGTTCCCAGCAACTCTATATGCAGAAGACATAGTAGAAACCTTATCCAACATCAAAGTCAACATTTTCCAAGAACAGATTTAAAAAGCACACACATGCCGTTTGCGCATTTTGTTATACCGTCGATAATCTCATCTCTTGTCTCAGAGAAGGATCTCCAGCAATGAGCCTAACTAGCGTTGATCCTGGGAGAATACGACCTTTGACATACTTGCGGATATCATCTTTATGTGCGCGAACGTGCATGCTCTGGGCATCACCAAGAGCTTCCCCTATCGCCGTGATATCACGCGAGGTCACCAGAAGATTGCATCCAAGAGACTGCAGCCTACTAAGCAGTTCATAACGCTTGTTGCGTCTTTCCGCGATCTCATCCAAAGCGTCGACAACAACAAAAATTTGTGAGACATGCTTGATCTCCGAAAATTAGAAATTTCTTTTGCAGATGACGTTGGCATCAATCCTTGACACGCTCGAATGTAGATAGGGATAAGGAAAATCTTGAACGAGCTGCTTCAAGAGACTTGCGACAAGGTCATAGACCGTTTGAGCTGACTGGTCTTTTTGGGTGAGATGATCGACGATATACGATCAAAAGGTATAGAAGTTGATCAATATATAGACCTAAATTATTCCTCCAAGGTCATACTAAGCACTTACGAATACCGCGACACCGCAGCGCTTTTTTGTCGCCTGCTTCCCATTCCTTGAACATTTCGCCATCAACTACCCAATCACCGGTCCCCCTCTCGTCAGTTTCCGCAGACCTCGCTTTGCCTTTGACGAAAATTCAGCAGAGGAGTGGAGTGAGCCACTCATCTAGTTTTCGTTGCGCCCCGGCTACTTTTGATTTTTTTCCGTGTGTTAAATCCTACTGCAGAACATGCGGTGAAATGGAAACGACGCTCACCACTATCCCCCACCGTGCCGGTCAAATGTAACGGCGCCACCATTGATTTGGCGGCCACCGCTAATAGCATTGGACGTACCCCCCCTGCGCATCGAGATCGACGTAGGGGGCAGGGCAGGCTTTGTGCCGCTGCACCCCGAACACCGACACCCTGAGCGCTGAGCATCCACAACATGACTCGGAGCCGACATCGAGAAACCCGCCGAAAAGTCTCAAATGATAGATAACGGCACGCGTCCTCAAGCTTCTGCGATGCGTCAACAATGTCCACCACGCACTAGACGCACGGGGCCAGGTCTGTCAGGGAGTGAGGGAGGGGGGGGGACACCGGTGAGGGCGTACGGTTGGCAATATCGTTGGCAATACTGGTACACCGTGACTGATGTAGCCAGCAGCTGAGGCCCGGGTTGACGGATAACTGATAACTTCCAAGTTTGTTGAGGATGTGTTGGCTCTGCAGGCGGCACTGCGCACCTGTACATGTGTTTAATGACTACTCATCGTCCCAGCTTCGAGTTCCGAGCAACGAGACCTTTAAATTCGCTGAACCAGTCGATGATCGATGATCATTCAAAAAAAACAACGAAATAATGATAATAACGTATACCGCATACCGCATCAACAATATCAACCAACCACAAAAAATAAAATCAACATCGCCTTCAGACTATCCCGTACTCAAACACCGTCGAAAACCAAGCGCAAAAAAGGAGTAGGCAAATAAAGTTAATAAAAATATCAGTACCAGTATCCTAACCACTCGTCGTAAAAACCCACATCGTATTCCAGTATCCTAACTTCGTTTTATAGCACTAATCATTCATTAAAATCAAATGTTCCCAGTCGACACGATACGCAAGCGGTGAAAAGAAAAAAATGTAAAGAAAGAATGGCGTAGGGAGGATAGGGGGTCCGAAGAGAATAGAAGAAAGGGATACGACGAGAGTGAGGTCGGGTGAATGGGTAAGAAGCAGGACGGCACGAGAAACCCTCAGATCACACAATCATCTTTCGTCATCTTATCCACCCCACCCCACCTCACTCTCAACTCCCAGCTCTTAGCTCTCATTCTCCAACGCCTCCCTCTCCAGCCTCTTCTTCATCGAGCTCACTACAAACCAACACAATCAATTATCAGCCCAGCCATTTTTAAACGTAGACACATAGTAAAGCGACACCGACCTTCTCTCGATATCTGACTCGAATTCATCCAATTGGGAGGGAAAGCAGCTACAATCTAATCACGAGCCGCGTCAGCACCAAAACACAAAGTGAAGAGTGAAAAACAAACCTTTTGATACAACACCTTCCGAAGTCCCTGCTCGCTAATCTGTGCATTGTTTCCTTCGAGTTCACTGTGCGAACAAAAAATCACAATCAGCATCGGCTCATCCCCGACACGACAAGAAACCCAAACGAATCCACCAAAACCCCCAAACCGCTCAGGAAAATGTAAACACCCAACTCGCCCAGGAAAACCCAAACAACAAAACAAAAACAAAAACCCAAAGAGAAAAAAAACCCCAACTCACTTCTTCTCATTCTCCAACCTACAACACTCATTACTCAACATCACCAACTGCCACACCACCACCTTCATCGCGTCCGTCATCCTATACCTCTGCGTCGGCGGGTGACTCTCCTTGTCCTTGTCCTTATCCTTATCCTTGTCCTTATCCGCATCCTTCTCCTTGTCCGCATCCTTATCCTTACCCCCGTCTTTACCGGCCCCGTCGTTGGAGGCGGAAGAGGCGGCAACGGCGGCGGCAGCATCGCCCTCGGGACCGCTCGCCGCGTCCTCTGTGGATTGTCGGTGAGAGGTGGAGTGAGGAGGATGAGGCTCTCCGCCCGCTTCGGCTTCTGCTTTAAGCTTCTCCTGTCGCTTCTCTGGATGACCCAAAAAAGGAAAAAAAGAAGAGTGAGCGAGTTAATCATGGATTTGTAAATTGAAAAATAAATCGAGTGAATGTGAACCGGAAAAGCGACGGGCGCATGGTGATGACGCAAGAAAGAGAATACGCAAAGAAACGCAACAACGCGCGAAAAAACACACAAAGAACAAAAAGGAAGAAGAAAAACACAAAGAGAACACACATACCCCAAGCCACCACGCTCTTCTCCCACTCCTCCTGCGCCTTTGCAAACCCTTCCTTCGTGAGCGCCGAAAGGTCCCCAAGGAGCGCTTCTTGCCGCGACATGAGGAGCTTCGCGTGGTCGTGGAAGATGGTGCGTTTGATCAATTTCTGTTTGGCGTCGTGGGCAGCGTAGTTTATCGCAAGCGTCATTCGTCATCATAAGCGTTCGTGGGTAATGGCGACAGGAGGTACAGCGCAAGTGAGAATCAGTATCGAAAGGAAGCATAAGATGAGAAAAAGCATCACTAACCGTCATCGTATACCGATTATACGGAAAGAGCGCAGGCATGAGATTAAAAAAATCGTCATCGTACTCGTTCAGGTGGATCGCCTTGAGGGCTACTTCGGCGAGGATGGGCTTGAGGGAAGGCGGGAATTTGCCTTTGGATTCCCATGATTCTGTACAAGGTGGACATGCAAGTTAGCGAGATGCAAGCGTCGGCGGAATCAACAAACGTACCTTTAGCAATAGCAGCCTTCAGATCGTCAAAAGCCTTCTGAAGCTCCGGATGAAATTCGCGCTACAACACATTAAAAAGCATAAACCTCATTGAGCACGACACCACCACGAGTATGCGCAAGAGCTTACGACGTCCACAATCTTCCTCTTCTTGCCATTCTCCTCCACCACGGTATAGTTCTTCCGCTTCTTGGACGCCTTTTCCTCGCTCACCATCATACTCAGGGACATCTCCTTGGTTTCTTGTTTTGTGTTGGCGGCGAGGGTGCTGGGGCCGGCGGTGGAGATGGATAGGTCTGGTTGGGAGGTGAGGGGTTTTCGTGATTTTGGTTTCTTTGGGGTTCTGCGAGAAGGGGGGTGAGGATAGGACGAGAGAAGGAGAAGAGATAAACGCACTTGTCTTTAAGTAAAGCGACCTCCCCACTGGAGACATAAAACCCCTGCTGCTTCGTCTGGGCGAAATAAGTGCGTTCGTCGATGGCAAGCTCCGAGTCGTCGATGAAAGGATCGCTGATATCGTAGTACTCCGTGCCTAGGTTCTTTTTCTGCAACGACATTGGCATGTGAGCGGTGTGGTGTATTGGTATGGTAGAGTGGTATGAGAGGAGGTACGGGAGAAAGGCTAGGAAGTGGAGCGAACAAGGCGTACCTTTTTCTTCTTAGGCCTCTCGTTGGCATGGTCGTCGTCATCGCCCTCGCCCTCGCTTTCACTCGTGTCGCGTTTGAGAGGGACAGGCGTCGGGGCCCTCTCACCGGTGGACTTTGCGAAAAGAGCGATATCAACCTCGTAAT